GTGGCTCAGTTTCACTAACCTGCCAGATGTGTCTAAAGCCATAGGTCGCCGGTCGGCCGAGCGGACAGCACACTGGACTTGTGATCCTGTGGTCCTGGGTTCGATCCCAGGCGCCGGCGAGAAACAATGGGCAAAGTTTCTTTCACCCTATGCCCCTGTTACCTAGCAGTAAAATAGGTACCTGGGTGTTAGTCAGCTGTCACGGGCTGCTTCCTGGGGGTGGAGGCCTGGTCGAGGACCGGGCCGCGGGGACACTAAAGCCCCGAAATCATCTCAAGATAACCTCAAGATAGGAGGACTGACTCTGGAAGGCGAATTCGCGCAATGACTACATCACATTGCCTGGTCCGGTTACTGTGCTGACCATACAAATACCTGTTATTACAAAACTTGTCATAGCTTTTAATACTGCAGCTTTCAGGTCTCTGGGCATTTCTTAGTTTTCTAAATCTGAATTAATTTCTTTAATTTGAATGTTTCTAATAATTGGAGACATTACTGACATATTTATCACAGTTCCATGGAACATTATGAACGTTCTACTATATACATATTGTAAAGAACGCAAATATGCATCATATACGATAAAAAACAAATAAAACCGCATTGGAAATACATAGAACAAATAATTGGAAATATATTTGTGGCAAGACCCGGTGCTTGAATGGCCCGCGCGACTGTGTCTGGGTGAGTCACGCACGGGTGACCAGGCCCTGATGACGTCACAGCTCACCTTGTCCACGTCCTCACAACCAAAGTAAGTGAAATTTGGTATTTATTTTTTACATAGACATGTTCAGGGAAGGGAATTTATCATTTTACAAAGAAAAAAGAATTTTTTGGGAGCACTTTATTTGATGCACACAGGGGGGAATTTCACAATGAACTCGGAGCAGCATGGTAGTTAAAAAAATTCCCATGGTAATCGTACAAAAAAATGAAATTTTTACAAATTTTTTAATTAACCCTTACACTGCTCAGGGGTCCTGAGGACATTTACACCCCTGTGCGCAAGAAAAAAAAAAAATTCTCAAATTTATTTTCGTCTTCTAAACATGTTAATTTGTGTCCCCCTGAGCACGGGAAAAATAATAAAAAAATTCTATCGTACTTACCAATGACATTATTGAGCCAACAAGTTGGCCGATGACGTCACAGAGCATGAGCGCTCAAGGGTGCTGCATCAGGCAGCGGTCACTCACGGCCGCTCAAGAGGCCCGAGTTGCCGCGAATTTATTTACAGTATTCTTGGCTCATTTTACACAAAATTTTTTCGCTAGTATTGTTCCAATTATTACCACTAGACGTTGTATTATAATAAAACTGGTATAAACTCACTAGGCGCTCACATATTAGTGTCCCAAGTATGCCCACCAAAATTATATAATTTACAGGAAATATTCAATGTACTTGGTTTTTTTTCAATATAAACACTAAAATTAACTTGATATGTACATTTATTTACAAAAGAATTACACATTTATTAGTCCTGGAGACTGCGAAACTGCGAAACAGTCGATATGGCACAGAGGGACTGCACGCGCTTCACACTCATGTTAACACGAATTTACGTTTCTGTGGCCTCATTTTGGTACTGGAATACACAACACACCGACGCTGGCCTGCTGCACGAGCTCCAGTTGGTGGTAATTTCTTTATTTGGTGTATCAGAAATGCCTCCCTGTAAGCAAGCCTGGGTGCAGGAGCATGGTTCAGTATTGGGTCTTGAATGGGTCTTTGTATGCCAGGTGTGTCCTTGCCAAATTTACCTAGTAACTGTTTCACAACTTGAAAACTAAACGAACGGAAATATGGTTTTCTACCTGTTTTTCACAAGATACATGTTGTAACTGTTCAGCATTGTTACGTCAATAAGGTGGAAAATCATTTTCTTCGTCCACTTCACTGTTTTCCGTACACACTCTACAGCACCCACCATCATGTCACATTTATCAACTACACGCATGTTGATGTTGTAGTCCATCACACAATCTAGCTTATATATTATTTGCTTTGTTGTTCTGTTCACCTTGCCACTGTCCACCATTGTACCAGGGTGAATGGTAGTCAACATGTTCACGTCACGTCTGAATTTCCACCGCAAACATTACACCACTTTTTCTTACCTCGCAATCACCTACTTGCATAGCAGTGTCAAACACAGGCATTTCCCTTCGTTTTGGTTTTACTGTGCCCCACACACTCCAGTCTTATTATCAAGCAAGAATTTCGTTAGTAAGGGACTGGTATAATAGTTATCTGTGTACAATATGTGGCCCTTGTTTAGATATGGTGCAAGCAGTGCCTTCACCACACTACCTGAGAAGCCATGTTCGTCATTAGCAGGAATATCTACATTTGTGGCGAAATACAGTATTATGTGTAACACCATTCCTGATTCACAGTCACAGAGCACAAAGAATTTCGGTCCAAATCGGTGACGTTTTGAGGGAATATACTGCTTGAAGGCAGCACATCCTTTGAAAAGCACAAGGGATTCATCAATAACCAGCTTCTGAGCTGGTACGTAGTACTCTCGGAACTTTCCAATCAGGTCATTTAGGATGTGCCTCACCCTCCAAAGCCTATCATCCTGTCTCTCGTCTGCATTATTTGCAAAATGAAGGCACCGTAGGATCAACAGAAATCTGTCTCGGGACATATATTTCCCGAACAATGGTGTTGGAACAGCGTTGTCTTTGCTCCAATAATCTGATATTACGTGTTTCACACAATGTTTCATCAACATGCAAATTGCGAAAAACACATACAGTTTACCAACGGTTATCTCTTTCCAACGCTGTAGTCGTGAAAATTTTGATACCTCCTCACCTTCAATGAGATTGGCCGCAAGTCTGTTCGTTTCGTGAACAATGGGTTCCATGAGCGGCTCATCGAAATATGCAGTAAAGAAGTCCATTTCACTCATTTCGTCACCAGTATCAGGGAAAAGATCTGTAATTCCCAAATCTCTGTTGTCAAAGTCGGGAATTTGTGGAACAAAATCTTCCCCATCACTCCACACAAATAAACCTGCTGCCATCTGAGAGCCATTAGCTGCACCATGGCGAGGAATCCGGGGACCAGGAGCTGAAGCAAGCATTGCAACAGTAGGGGCAGGAAAGGTAGATAAGGGAAAATATTTGGAACATGAGGGAATTTGTTCCTCATTGTTGCCATATTGTTCCATGCAGCGGCGTTTGGCTGGGCGGGCAGCTGATGCGGCGAAACTTGTACTGGCACTAGCAGCCGGGGTAAAACTATTCTCCGATTCTACATCACTAAAACCTGAGAAAGATTCACCTGTTTCAGACTCGTCGATCATATCATAAACGTGCAATGGAACAGATGAACGACGTGCTTGGGTGCGAGGTGGTGTTGAGTAGTAGCGGGTAACTCTTGTGGCATCCTCGCCCTCGTGACACCAACATGTTCACCCTCACTATCCGTTGTTTCTATTTCTTCAGGCTGTATAAAGTCCTCATCTATATCCGAGTCATCAATATCAGATTCGTCAACGTCCTTGAACAATTCATTGGCAATTTCATCTTCGGTCAAAGACTGCGCGGTGCGCTGAGCGAGGTCGCACGCTGGGCCGTGATGCGCTCGCCATGGTGTATGGTCACTAACTAAAGCCTGGGAAACAAAGGAGGCCTGCTCTAGATTCTTTTTCAAGATGGCGTCTGTTTACAATCGTCCCTGGCTACGGTATGGGTGACCCCTTTACACCGCGGGACATTTGAATCGTGCCTGGCACCCTTTGGCGTATATATACGCCATGTGCACAGTGGGACATGTTACTCATGGCGTATATATACGCCATGCGCAGTTTAAGGGTTAATGCCGACATTTGCGTCATCAGGAACTCTCCGTATTTTGGTTTTGTGACGCATTATGCATCATCAGGGGTGCAAAAGTGTTAATTAATATATATATATTATTGGTAGATGAGGCTACTCTTTTGGAAGTTTTGTGTATTTTTTTCACTAGGAAATGTCATTATTTTAAAGTGTATTTGCCAATCCCCTCCAATTTCATCTAGTTGGTATGCTATGAGTACAGGTTGAGATAAACCAAGAGTTTATTGAATACTGAGGAAAATTAAAAACAGTCACACTGCAAAGGAATTTGGTTTATAAATTTAAACAAGGGACTAGTCTAAAGGTATGAGGAGAGGTGGCTGTCGTAACAACGTATAGTTCCTGGCAAAGTGTCAGTACCAGATGTAGGTCATAAGTAAACCAGGAATGTGGCAGTAGAGTTGTCGATGCTGCCAGTTGAGACTTCAGCCAGAGGAAGCCAGCAAGCACCCGACAGGGTATCCTAGTCTCTAAGTTTGCTAATCTACCACTGGAAGAGCAGACAGTGATTCAAGTGTCCATTCCTTGGCACTGGAGTGAAGTGTTTTATCCCAATGAATAAAGCTGATGGGGGGGGGGTAATTCAAGGGGTGGTATACGTAAGTTTACTAGCTATTACACTCTCCTTGCTTCATTCTACCACCCTCCAGGAATATTTGGGTGGTTCTGGCAGTCCTCAAAGGAATTGCTAGTGTCTCTGAGGTTACTGGGTGACTCAGGGGTAATGTGCTGTCCCATATGGTGCCTTGACAAGAACACTGAAGTTGTATTTCACGAAAGAGGTACCGCAACACAGTGCACCCTGTTTTGCCATGATATTATGATGTGCACAGTAGTGGTTAAAGCTTCAATGACTTTTTGGGAGGCTTTCCTGGTGAAATGTTATTTTTCTCTTTGCTCTTCTGTGAGGAGGGTCCAGGTTCTGGCTCTAGTCTCCAGTAAGCAAAACAGAACTCCCACATGTGATGAGACTTATATGGAGCAATCTCAGCAAGATAGCTACAGGGAGCCACTGGAGCTCTACCAGAAAGAGGCATTACATTACATCTAGTGTTGGGTTTCTCCTACTACAGTACATCAAATATGTTATTACGTTTTCACTCGATTGATTTCAGACTCATGTGTACTTTGTTTCCTCAGGTTTCCACAGTGTTTACGGAATTCTACGACAACTGTTATTGTCTTGAAAAAGATGAGACTGGGAAGATTGTCAAAATTAACATGTGGCGTCTGATGCTGTGTGAAGCAACTGCACAAGTAATGGAGAAATGCTTTTCCATTCTTGGCATTGAGACTGTTGACAAAATGTAACTTGTAATGTAGTAGGCTTTTTTTACTCTTAATGCAGTTACATGTCAGTTTTTTTTAATTGAATATAGTTTTTGAAGGCTTTTAAATCAAATAATTTGGTAATACTAAATGGGAAGAGCATATAACAAGTGCAAGGAAGTGGCAGATCAATCGGGTTATGATAGCTATGTGGCCACAGGGGGCCACTAACAAAGTTGTCACTGACACTCTGGCAAGAGCAAAAAAAAAATTTGAAATCGACAGTAAAAAATTACATGAATGCATAAATCCTCAAGAGCCATGATGAGGGGTTTGAACCTATGCACGGGATGTTCCCAGATGCGCCTCAGTCAACAGTTCCACGAACATGTCATGGCACAGTTGACCGAGGCACATCTGGGAACATCCAGTGCATAGGTTCGAACCCACATCACGGCCCTTCTAGATTTTTTCATTTGATATACTGTATCACGCTATTGTGATTTCTGTGTGTACACGAATGCCCAATTGTGCAGGAGCCTGAACTTTTGTGGAAATTGCTGCTATCTTTATTCCGGCATATTTGTAAAAAAAAATGAATAAATTTCATTCCTGCAGTTTTTGGTGAAGGAGCTTCTCTAAGATAATAAAAATTATTTGTGCATATGCTGTTGTCTGACTGTCCTAGTTGTAGTATAGTACTGAATATCTGAATGAATCAAATTATACAGTGTGACTCGCCCAAATATACCTCATTATAACAAAATATTACTACATTCAACCTCTTGTGGGTGCTGCTTTTTGAGCCTCCCTCAGTTGGATGACCTGAGCTCTCCTGTCTACTAAGGTAGTGCATAGGCAGAATGTCCTCTGTGGTTTTGCCACACAGGCAGACACCTGCCTGGAGAGACAGGCAGGTGTAGCTGGTAAGGTGCTCCAGTGGATAAGGGAGTACCTAAGCAATAGAAAGCAGAGAGTTACGGTGAGGGGTGAGACCTCCGATTGACGTGAAGTCACCAGTGGAGTCCCACAGGGCTCTGTACTCGGTCCTATCTTGTTTCTGATATATGTAAATGATCTCCCGGAGGGTATAGATTCATTTCTCTCAATGTTTGCGGACGATGCCAAAATTATGAGAAGGATTAAGACAGAAGAGGACTGTTTGAGGCTTCAAGAAGACCTAGACAAACTGAAGGAATGGTCGAACAAATGGTTGTTAGAGTTCAACCCGACCAAATGAAATGTAATGAAGATAGGTGTAAAGAGCAGGAGTCCAAATACAAGGTATCATCTGGGAGAGGAAATTCTTCAGGAGTCGGAGAAAGAAAAATACTTGGGAGTTGATATCACGCCAGACCTGTCTCCTGCAGCCCATATCAAGAGGATAACATCAGCGGCATATGCCAGGCTGGCCAACATACGAACGGCATTCAGAAACTTTGTGTAAAGAATCATTCAGAACTTTGTATACCACATATGTCAGGCCAATCCTGGAGTATGCAGCCCCAGCATGGAGTCCATATCTAGTCAAGGATAAGACTAAATTGGAAAAGGTTCAAAGGTTTGCCACTGTTATAAATATATGTGTGTGGGGCTCTATGGGGTACTGGTACTATTAAGGGGTAAGGGTAGTTAGAAGACAGAGTATCAAATATGGGAGAGCTAAAAGGCCCGGCCCCCAAAATAAACTATCCACAGTAGTAATAACTTGCTACAAGACCATATATGTTAGTCTAAGGGTTGATCAATGCGCTCCCACATAGGAAGAAGGGATACTCTGTAATTCATGTACTTATTTATTAACCCCTTAACAACCCCCCATATACACTCACACCAATAACAATAATAATAATAACTTTACCACACTATCTTACGTTAAAAGCCTTGGTCCACTTAGGCAGGATACAAGGTTTACACTAATAACAAGATAGGGTAAAGTACTACTGGATAAGCACTGAAGCTGGATGCAGCTTAGGGTAGGGAAACCACGTGGGACCCTAATACAAAACACAACACTTAGGGGTACCCAAAACACTGGCAAATACTACCCCCAGGTCTCACCAATCGTTACTACCAGAGTAGGTACACTTAATAATGCCCCGTACTTAACTTAAGGGTACAGGAACTTCAGGTAAGGGAAATAAGTAAGAGGAGAAGGGAGAAGAGTAGGGGTGTAGCCACAGAGTAGGTCTCGTCCGCACGAACACCAGCCAGAGAAGAGAGCTCCTAGCGACCAGCTAGCCTCCCTCATGTCGTGGTGCCGGAAGGAGCCTAATTGATCGTGCAGCTAAGCACATTAAAGATCTTCCCCTATGCAACGTATTGTTACTTTATGAATGATTAGAAAGTATTGGTTAGCAAAGTTGGTGCCTATGTTGTTATTTAATAATCAACCCCCAGCTCAGTCTTTAAATGCTCTTTGAGAAACAATAATAGTCTTACGTCTGGCAGGGAAGATACAAACAATTGCCGTTCGAGATGCACTCAACTGTACTACCAGAAAGTTTAATAGCTCAATTTTGACCTCTGGTTTCCACTGGAGAACCCAGGGTCGTAACAGCCACCAGACTAGTACCCGAGCTGAGAGAGATGAGCTACGAGGAGAGACTACGGGAATTAAACCTCACTTCGCTGGAAGACAGAAGAGTTAGGGGGGACATGATCACCACATTCAAGATTCTGAAGGGAATTGATAGGGTAGATAAAGACAGGCTATTTAACACAAGGGGCACAACCACTAGGGGACACAGGTGGAAACTGAGTGCCCAAATGAGCCACTGAGATATTAGAAAGAACTTTTTTAGTGTCAGAGTGGTTGACAAATGGAATGCATTAGGAGGTGATGTGGTGGAGGCTGACTCCATACACAGTTTCAAGTGTAGATATGATAGAGGCCAATAATAGTGAAAAGTGTGAAAAGAATAGGGGAAAGTGGATCGAGAAATTAGTAATAGAGAAAGTGAATACTATTGCAAGTCGGAAATAAAGCAGAAAATCCCTTATTGTAATACAGGCGAATTAATATATCAGTGTTATAACCCAAGTAACTGGCAACTGAGGGCCTCCAGCCGCGGCCTGGGACAACAACGTGTGAACTGTACAGCCTCTGGGACCCTCACCCTCGACCGTGCGATAAGTACTGACCATACAGTAGAACAAATAAACATATATATTATTACAAATATACGATATACATATAATATTATAAATAGATATATACAACAAAACAAGGCAAAATGGGAGTAAATAAACAAATTTGTGCCCACTGTAACAACTACTTAAAGTCGAAGGCAACGGGAATTGAATGTTATATCTGTAAGAATAGATTTCATTCGGCTTGTACAGGAGTGAGTAACACTACGGCACTGAGAGCTGGCCACTTGCTCTGGGTGTGTAAAAATGACCTGCCAGCTTAGAATATCCTAAAAGACCTTCTAGATAACATGACGCATGATCGGAAAACATCGCTCATTGAAAGCCTACCAGCCATCCAGAAGGAGTGGGAAAGGAACAACAATAATTCTAATATACCAGGGGCAGAGGCTATAGTCAGGGAGGAAACTGAGGCTGAAACTCAGGAAGTTGTAAACTCTGACTCAGTAGGCCCGGATGTAGATGACAGTAAACTAGAAAAAGTCCCCCAGTCAAACTATCACTAATAGAATAACCTCATTCATCTTTGCCAACATACAAGGACTGAAAACAAGAACAAACAACAAAGTACAGTTTATAAATGGCCTCCTCACGGAGTCGAATGCAGTATTTGGAGCTTTCACAGAAACCCATGCAGGGGAATTGTTGGACAGTGAGATTTGGATTCCAGGATATAACCTATACAGGTGTGATAGGAAAATTAGGTCACATGGAGGAGTGGGTCTGTATATTAGGGAAGACCGTGTATGCTCGGAGCTCCTAAACGTTACAAATGAGGTGGTAGACGTACTGGGATTAAAAATAGAGAAAACAAATTTAGTGATTATTCTAATATACAAACCGCCAGATGCAACGGCTGAGGAATTCACAGAACAGATAAACAAAATAGAGAATAGCCTTGATAATTTGGAGAACCCGATACCTGATATTATCTTCCTAGGTGACTTCAACTTGCCTAGTCTCAGGTGGAGAATAGCAAACAATAATATTATACCAGGAAATCTATCGGGACCTAACCAACCACAGATTAGAGAACTACTTAGATTCTGTGACAAATTTTCAATCAGCAGATATCGAAGCCAACGAGAAATGAAAATATTCTAGATCTGGTCTTTACGAACATTGAAGACATTATCAGAGACATTACGATATCAGATACCACATATTCAGATCACAAGCTCATTGAAGTGCAAACGACCATCAATACTCAGAATAGACCTAAAACGTTGATAAAGCGAGAGGGGGTTATTCAGTAAATTCAATTTTAATAATAAAAGGATAGACTGGGAGATAATAAACAGGGAACTTACAAACATTCCATGGGAAACTGTTTTAAGTAATGCAAGTCCTACAGAAGGAATAGAAAAACTGACTTCGGAAGCGTATCAAGTCTGTCTGAAACATGTTCCTTTGGGGAAAGCCAGAAAGAGATCCAACGTAGAAAGAGAACGCAGACGACACTATAAACGCAGGAAGAAAAAAAACGGAACTGCTTATGCAGACACGAATTTCCCGTCAAAGAAGGAATAATTTAAATAGGGAGATTGAAGAAATCGAGCGGAAATTGAAACACTCATATGAGACTGAAGAAAGGCAGTTAGAACAGAAAGCAATTCAGGAAATAAAGAAAAATCCAAAATACTTCTTCACATATGCGAAACCAAAAGCAAAAACTACTGCCAGTATTGGACCTATTCATACAAGTGAAGGTTCATACGGAGGATGACAAAGAAATTAATGAAATCCTAAAAAAGCCGTATGAGGACATGTTTAGCACTCCAATAAACAACACGAAAGTGGAAGATCCAGACAATTTCTTTATGCGGGGTATTCAAACCCCTGTAAATATAACTGATATCAACACGAGCGCACTAAATTTTGAAAGAGAAATTGAAAACATGTCCATGCACTCGGCCCCAGGTCCAGACTCATGGAATTCAATATTTATAAAGAAATGAAAAGTGCCGGTAGCACAGGCACTCAGTATAGTGTGGAGGAAGAGCTTGGACACGGGGGAGATACCAGATGCACTTAAAGTAGCAGACATAACCCCTCTACACAAGGGAGGGAGCAAAGCATTGGCAAAGAATTATAGACCAGTTGCACTAACATCGCACATAATAAAAGTATTTGAAAGAGTGATTAGGAGTCAGGTCACCAATTTCATGGAGACCAATGACCTTCACAACCCAGGCCAACATGGATTTCGAGCGGGAAGATCGTGCCTCTCACAGCTACTTGAGCACTACGACAAATTAAGTCACTGAGGCATTAGAGGAAAAACAGAATGCTGATGTGATATACACGGACTTCGCAAAGCCTTTCGATAAATGTGACCATGGCGTGATAGCACACAAAATGAAGTCAATGGGAATAACCGGTAAAGTAGGATGCTGGGTACTCAGTTTTCTGTCAAACAGGACTCAGCGAGTAACGGTCAACCATATAAAATCTAGTCCAAGTGCAGTTAAAAGCTCTGTACCTCAGGGTACAGTCCTTGCACCGCTGCTTTT